AAATTTCTCTAGACCGACTTTTCTCGGTCTTGCATAAAACTCATGAAAATCGTGAAAAAATGCGACCCCGACTTTTACAGGGGTCGCCTAAAACTCATGAAAATCGTGAAAAAATGACCAAATTTCATTATATAACTGTATTTTTTGACGAAGAGAACTTTGACACTTCGTAAAAAAACTCTATGAAATCGTGAAAAAATGCGACCCCGACTTTTACAGGGGTCGCCTAAAACACATGAAAATCGTGAAAAATTGCGAGTACGTTAAAAACCGTAGTCGCCTAAAACTCATGAAAATCGTAAAAAAACACATGAAAATCGTGAAAAAATGCGAGCAGGGGAAAAACCCTGGTCGCCAAAACTCTATGAAAATCGTGAAAAAACTCTATGAAATCATATCTTTTATACAAGATAGAAAAAATAAAAAATAGCGTTAGTTTTTTTAAAATATTTTTTTTATTTTGTATGTAAGAACAGGAAATGACAAGCACTGAGTTTGAAACAGTTAAAAAGATAGACAATGAGACCAAGGTGGTTAGAATAGGTGATTTAAACGTAAGATACTCAAAGAAATACAAAAAATATTCTTTGTCAGACATTTTAACACTATCTGAAGGAAAGAAAGCACACGACTGGGTTAAAAATGCTTCAACTCAGAAAATTTTGACAAGAAATCCTGAGCTTATGATATCAGTAAGATTCTATGGAACAAGAGCATATCTTATAGACAAAAGTCTTATACCAGTAGTTTTGTTCTGGATTGACCCAGTTGTTGGATATAATTTCATAACATATGGTTCATTCGATACGGAACGTTGCAGTGAAGGCTTAGTTTACATCGTTCAGAAACCGAAGGACTTCAATACAAAGAGATATAAGATAGGAAGAACATTTAATATAACTCAAAGATATGACAGTATAGTCAATAGAGTTAAGGTTGCGTTTGTTAACGATATGAGAGCTGCAGAAACAGAACTACTTGAAAAGTTTGAGAAAATGTATGGTGCTCCCACGAGAGGTAAAGAAACGTTTGAAGTAGATGAGATCGACAAAGCTATAAAAGTATTTGACGAAGTTGCTGAAAAATACATGTAAAGCGTTTATTTTTGGTCTTTTATACAAGATAGAAAATAGCGTTAGTTTTTATAAAATATTTTTTTTTATTTTGTATGTAAAGACAGATATGACAACAACAGAGAACACAACAACTGCTATCGTTCATGAAGATATAAATGAAGAATACGAGTACATACAGTATAACAAACAGTTACGTCTCATTCGTTCGGTCAAAGATGACATGTACCAAATGCAAAGTATTTTGACAGCATGTTTTGCTCCAGATACCAAGAAACCACAAGACTGGTTTGAATTAAATAGCACTCATGAACTCCTCAGTGAGTTTGAACATGTAGAACTTAAAAAGATGTACCAAGACAGACAAAACTTACCATCGCATCTAAAAGGTATATATGTTCATAAGTTCCTAGCTAGTTCAATAGCAATGTGGGCTTCACCTCGTTATGCAATCTACATACTTATGCTACTTGACGAACTTTGTACAAAGCAGAGAGAAGATATGATGAAAGAAGACAAAAACATACAGAAAAGAATACCACGTTCGGTACCAAAAGGTAAGGAAAAGAACTATAAGTATATGATTTACACTGAAGAGATGGAAAATGAAGAAGACAGAGATATGGTTATGTTGCATTTAGTCAGAAGAAACAACAAAAGCTTTTACGACCTTGCTAAGATTTACAAATCTGACAGAAATTGGTTCTATCGCGAAAACTTACCGATTTCAATGACACCGAATGAAGATGTTAAACAGATAGTTCAAGATACGTTACCTCAAACACACTATGATATGAAAGGTTGTACAATACTTACATTCAAAGAAGATTTGCCGCTACTGAAGGAAAAGATAACAGAGTATTTCGATAACTTCAAAGAGGAAGAGTAAATGAACCATTTATTTTTCAAGCTTGACACCAAAGATGGCTCATGTAGCTCTAGATGGTAAATTGTCTTGTCCGAGTCCTTCTGGCATTCCGAGTCCTTCCTTCCGACAGGAAAAGTTTTTCTTTCCGACAGGAAAAGTTTTTCTTTCCGACAGGAAAAGTTTTTCTTTCCGACAGGAAGAACTCTTCCTTCCGACAGGAAAAGTTTTTCTTTCCGACAGGAAAAATTTTTCTTTCCGACAGGAAAAATTTTTCTTGTTGTCCGTCCGTAAACCATTCAAATTTTCGAAAATTGAGAACTTTTTGGCCGGCCTTCAGGAAAAATTTTTCTTTCCGACAGGAAAAATTTTTCTTTCCGACAGGAAAAATTTTTCTTTCCGACAGGAAAAGTTTTTCTTTCCGACAGGAAAAGTTTTTCTTTCCGACAGGAAAAGTCCTTCCTTCCAACTGGAAGAACTCTTCCTTCCGACAGGACACAAACGGATGACTGACGTACCACCAACCGAGTCCATTCCAAAGCCAGAAGAACCGACAGCCCCAGCACCACAACAGACTAAGACTCAAACACTTACATTTTTACGCTTGACTTTTTACAATTTGAACTTTGTTCGCGTAGATATGAATTCTGAAAGAAGTATGAGGGTCTTGTATGACTTTGTACTTCTCCCATAGTTCATGTCTGTCAAACTTACCTGCCATGGACTCTTTCATAAGTTCCATGAAATCGTCTTCGGACAATCCGGGGAAGAGTATAATATCAGTAAGTATTCTCTTTACATCCTTACTTAAACTCTTTGCTGTCTGTACACAAATGACAACTGAAATGTTAAAGTGTCTGAGCTTCTTAAGAATTCGACACATGTCTTGTTCTCTGTTCTTTAACAAAGGATGAGAAGCAAAGTCATCTAAGATAAGAAGACATCTGTGAGGGTAAGTCTTCCAATCGTAAGATTGCAATTTCTTCGAAAGGTACTCAATCTCTTTCTGTTTGTTTCTGAAGTGTTTCTTCTCTAATATTCTCTGCATTTCCTCATTTGGGTCTTTAAACTTCGAATTGACATACTCATTTATAGCATTGTACTTCAAAACTCTTCTTTGGTACTTCTTTATCCAATCTAACAACTCAGTATCTTTTATACATACTAACTTAGACTTTTTTATAATATCTTTGAACGAATTGACGGTTTGGTCAAATTGACCAGAAGTACTACAAATGACTACTAACTCATAGAATGGGTTCTTCTCATCTAGTTCTTGTTGTTGTGCAGCCATTTTAAGATAAGTGAAAGTCTTACCCGACCCAGGCGGTGCAATTAGACCTGTTATACCATTCTGAGCAAATAGGAACTTGTCATGTATGGGTTTTATCTGAGCATTTTCCAACTTCCTCTTGTTCTTGTTTAAAACATTCTCAAATTTCTTGTCAATGTCAGCAAACTTTTTTTCTAACATATTTTTAGAAAAATTAAAATTTTTATCTTTTAGGAAATGTCTAGCGATTTCGCTATCTATATTCGAGACAAGCTTTTCGACAGCAAAACATCTGTCGACCATAAAATCTTACATAGTGTAAACAAGAAAGGTGAATTTGTTCTAAAGTTCTGTTTCTGGGAATATGACAAGAACCATAAAACATTAAGCAGAGCAGTCTTAAAATTTGTCAATGACAGACTTGTTGACAGAGATGACGCCTCTTGGAGAGATGAAGTCCAACAAAACTTCTTAGAATGCAAAGAAGACACATGCGCTGTTCTTGAAAATGAAATAGAAAACAGAATAGAAGAGCTATTAAATGACAAAGCACTTTTACAAAAATATGGTTCTGAGAAGTTTGACATAACTCCACCAGAGAAGAAGAAGAGAGAAAAGAAAGAAAAGAAACTAGAAGAAGAGAAGAAAGAACCTGAACCAGTTCCAGAGAAAAAGAAATTTGACATGTAAAAATAAAATTTTATTTTTAGAACATTTCTGGGTCAATGTCAATGTTCTCTTCCTCTTTAGGAGCAAACACCGGCTTAGACTCTAAAATCTTTTTACCCAATTTACCTTGAACTTCAACTATCTTAGACTCATAATATTCATAGTCGTCTGCTTTCTTTGGTTCATAAGGTATAACAAGTTTGTATGCTTTGCCTTCTTTAAGGTTTGAAAACCTTCTGTCAAAACTTTCTTTGACTGTTAACAAACCTTCTATGTCTAAGTCTTCAAATTTCGCACCATTTTTAGTCACAATAGCAAACTTAACTGGTTCGATGTTCCAAACTTTGTCAAATGAAGACTTTTCAAAATGGTAGAAGTAAACATTCAAATATGTGAATGGGTCTAGTTCTTCTTTGACTTCTGTCATGTACTTGTTGACTGAGATGAATTTCGTCATCTTTTCTATCGGATAAAAAAATATTTTTTTTTAAAAAAAAACGTTTTAAAATGGTATGCCATATAGCTTCTTGAATTTGTTAAGAAGTATTCGAACGTGTTTTCCATCTGTATCTCTAGTGTTTACATATGCATAGCCTTCCTTAGTAAAACATACTAGTAATTTTCTATAGTTTACGCCGGTATAAAAGTAGAAAGAGTCCTGTTCTTCGCTATAGTAGTAAAACTCAAACGTATGCTTGCCATAGTCTGTAATTTCAATTGCTTCATCTTCTAGTTCGTCGACAAATTCGAATACAATATCTCTAAATTTGCTTTTGTTCTTATTGTTTTCAGAACGAGTAACCCAACGTAAGTTTTCAAGTCTATTGTCGTTTCTTATATGGTTTATATGGTCTACAAAAGGTAAATTGTTAGGATTCGGTATAAAATGAGTTGCAATGACAACATGTTTAAAATAGTGTTTTCCACCCAGATTCATCATAGCATATCCGTCATTTTGCTCCCATCCGCTTAAAACTCTTTTTGTCTCTTTGTTTCTGACTTCAAATGACTCACAACAGTGAATTTCATATTTCTCATCTAACAAACAAGTTTCCCAACGGTCTTTTCCAACAAACTCAGCGTACATTTCAAATAAAATAAAAAATATTTTTTTTAAAATTTACTCAGAAAAATTTTTCTTTGTATATACACCATTCTGTACGTCTAAAAGACTTTTGACATTTGCCAAGAATGTTCGTTTAGACGCTGTCATATAACCATATTCTTGACAATACTGTTTATACGAATCGTACAATGACCTTTCATCTAAACACTCAAAGTCAGTCTCATCTATAAACAGTTCATATACACTCTTGTTTGCTTCTAACAATGTTTGTCTCTCTTCGGTATGTGGAATTTGTCTTGGATTGAACTTAGAAATATCTAATGTCATGAAATATGAGAACAAGTGGTTGTAAAAGTTAGGTGTCAAAGTTTCTGCTAAGTCGTCAAAATATTCTGTATCTTGCATATGAGCTTCTGACGTTCTGACAACTACATATCTTCTGTCAGAACTTTCTAACTTCATCGGAACGGCGTTGTTTGAAACCATGACGAAGTTTGCAACATTTTCACAAACTCTTTGGTCTCTATACTTTCTTTCAACAACTCCAACTTTGTCTGTTATAAGACTCTTCAAAGCATCCGAGTTCAAAACTTTTGTTGTATCTATACTTTGAAGTTCGTTACATACTATAAGTTTCATATTCTCTATTGAAGAGTTAAATTTACCGCAGATGTTTTCTAAGTTTGTCATATTCGGATTCGAATAGCCCTCTAACAGTTTGCATAAGATATCTGTAAAGAAAGTGTTCTTACCTGTTCCTTGTTTTCCAATTATGATGAGAGCAGTTTCATTTTTAGCACTTGGATGTTGTAAGATGTTTGCAAACCAACATAAGATATACTCATAGACTCTTTCGTTTCCATTGCATATAATTTCTTTGACATGGTCTAACCAAGCTTCTATAACATTTTCTTTCCATTCTACTTGTTCGTATTTATATCCAGTGAAGATAGAATAGAAGTTTGGAGATGGTGTATAGAACTTTATACCACGAACTGAAAAATCTTCTAACTTTGACAATAAGATATCCCAAGCATCTAACATCTTCATACCAACTTGTACGACTTTTATTTTCTTAAGTTTCTGTTTACATTCTTGTTCTGAAACTATTGTCGCTCTTGGTTTGTTAAAGACTACATCCCATTCTTTCATGACATAACATTCTGGGGCAAGAGTCGACATAAATGACTAAACGTTTCAAATTCTCGACTGCTTTGTTATAGTCTCTAAATGGACACATATTTCTGAACGCTTGGAAGTCATAAAAATCTGAAACGTCTATTCTGTACATTTTTTTATAAAAATAAAAAAAATATTTTTTTATTCTTGAGCTATTTGTTGCATTTGTTCCATTTGTTGCATTTGTTGTTCTTGAGCTATTTGTTGTTGAAGTTGTTCTTGTAATACAATACTTTCACCAGTTGCATCTTCCAATTCGAAACTTTCTGCCGTCATTGACAATACATAGGACATAAAAGTTTTACAGGAACAAAGTTTGCGTCAACTAAGGTTAAGTTTATGTTTGCTAAAGTGTTTGAGTTTACTAAAGCTGAAAACTCTGCATTCGAATGAACAATAGGCAAACCAGCAGAGAATGTGTTGTTTATACGCATGAGTATCTTTTGGTCATAGTAGTTTCTGTCGACATTCGAATAGCACTTTGAACCTAAGTTTGAAACAATATATTAAAATAGGTGTACTTAAAGTCAATGGAACAGACATTCCTTGTATGACACCTTTTCCTGTTATAGGAAACTGTTGGTAGTAAAAACCAGATATAAGTTTTGTATTATAGCTCATATCGTTTATACTAAACTCAGTCGGACATCCAAACATAATGAAACCTGCTCTAGTTGCAGCACATGTTACATCCGTCCTTAAAGTATTAAATAAGTCAACAAAACCTGTTGGTGGTATATCTGAGTAAGTATCTTCAAAGGAGTATTTTTTACCATTCACAACAATAAAATCTTCTGGTGTCAAAAGAGCAAAAGGCTTTAGTCGTCATCGTGTTTAAGGTCAGTTTACAATATCGTCCTTGAGGACTTTGTAAGTTTGTTGTTATAGAATTATATGACTCAGGGTTTTTAGTCGTAATAGTATAAACCACTATGTCTTCTGCCATTTACATATATTTAAAAGTTTTTCTGAAAGTGGAGAAGAAACTTCATCTAAACTTTCACATGGCGTTTCTTGAAGTTCTCTGTCTAAGAAGTTCAAATATTTTGTAAAGACATAGAACTTTCCTTTGTCTACACGAACAAACAAAACAGGGTCTTTCATATCGTTCAAAAGTGTGTAAAGTCCTTTACATGAAATAAAGTCTATATTGTTTTTCTTCAACATCTTTCAAGAAGTTTTGACATTTTTACTTAGCAAGTAAATTTTAATGAAATGTTGTGGTCGTCAAATATTTTTATGACGTCTGGGAAACTATATTTTAAGTTCAACGTTTCACCTCCTTTCATAACGTATATCTTGTCAATGACATTGTATGAAACACCACAGCAAGCAATGTCGGGTTCTATTTCTTTGATGTTTATATCGTCTGCCTCTGTCAAAAGTTTCAATAGTTCTTTCAAAATTTCATGAGGTGCGATGACATATGAGTTCACTTTTACAGGGTTGTGCTCAACCAAGTTTAACATTATACCAAAGCTTGACAAATCTTCTCCTGAGTTTTAAGTTTGTCTTTAAGTTGTTGGTAGTCATTTCGAATATCTGCAACAGAACTTAAGTCTCTGCTAACTTCAGGATATGTTGGTTGTTCTTTTACAGGAACTATTGTTATACCATCTTCGTCTTCGTATGGTTTCCCCACTTCAACATCTCTGTCTTTGACATTGACAACAACACTTTGACTGTTTGTTTGAGTTGGTGAATTTAACTTCACATCTGCCACCGCCATTAAACCTTTTGAAACACTTACGCTTCTATTTTTCGGAAATGACATTTTACTTAGAATAAAAAGATGGACGTATTTGAGTATCTCTTCGAATTGAAGCAAAACAAAGTTTACACACACAAACAATACAAGTTCATTGACAGAGTAGTTCTTTATACAAACAATGGAAAATGTTATAGAATAGCAGTCTTTGCTGAACCAAAATATTTTCATAAAGCAAAGAAAGTTGGTATAACTGAATGGTGAAAGTTCTTGACGTTGACAAAAATATAACAACAAAACTGACCGATATTTCTAAAGGTAAGTTTATAATACAATTTTATGTCAAAACTGGCGTACTGTCAATATTTGACGGAGAGAAGTCAGTTCAAGAACAACTTACTGACCTGCTGCCAAAATCTGCTCGATGGAAGCTGTCGTTATACCAATCTGAGGAGCCCCAGCAGGTTTCATCGAACGAATTTTCAAAAGAGCATCTTCCGTGAAAAGTGCTATTGGTTTTGTAAACTTCTTGCTTTCAATTCATCTGGACCGTCTCTGTCACCAGTATATTGTATTTGAACTGTACCAACAGTTGAAATACCACCCATAAAGTCTTCTGAGTCAGCAAATGGAATGCCAAGCCAAAAGTTTGAACGGTCTCCATTTGTATATTGAGTGTTTTGAGCTCCTGTATGGGTCCATACTTTCACATATGGCATAATAGAACTTTGCATTTCAGGGTTAATGGTTGTTGTGAAGTTGTTGTTAAAGTTCATAGCATCTAATGTCAAGTTGTATGACCTCATATCCTCAACTGTAGAATATTCTTCTCTTGGATAGTATTTGCCATCTATGTTTATATGATATTTAATACCAGGGTTGTAGAAACAAGAATAGTCATTTATAGTTCGTCTGAACAGTACAAACATAGTATCTGCATGTTTCATTGCAGTTGTTAAAGCAATATCTGTTCTTGCACCTGGGTCAGCACTTTGGTTTCCAACTTCACCTGCAAAGTCTTTGACAGATATTTGGTGTATAGGGAACATAAGTGGAACTGCAATATATTTGGCAGCTAAAGCATTTGAAATATCTGGGTCCAACATATAGACTGCAAGTCTGCTTTCTATTCTCTTGCATTCAAATTTTTCGCATGTGAACTTAACTGGTCCCAAGCAGTTCCAGCAGCATTGAAGTAGTAGTTTACTTCAGTGTTGAGGTTTGAGAAACCAAAGTCTAAGTCAACTTTGTCTTTGCAAAATTCGGCGAATGACGTTTGATTTGCTCCCTTTACGTCTGTAAGAGTGAATGGGTCTTGCGTTGGTGCAATGACTAAGTTATTTTTGCTTGGAGTAAGTTCGATAGAAATTTTTCCTGCCCAGTTTGGCAAGTATCTTAAAAACCTGAAGATGAGGAAAGATGACAAAGGAACTCTAAGTTTCAATTTTACTTTGGTTACTGCTGCTGCAGTTTGTCCAGAAAGGTCAACATAAACTCCTGGAACGTTAGGGTCAAGTCTTCTTATTTTCTCAATAGTTGCATACTGGTCTGTTTGTTCTCTAGCTTGTGGTTGTACTGAGTTTCTCAAAGCGAACCATTCATAGTTTGCCCATGTTACTGTTTGAACTAAGTCAGAGTTAGAATATATCTTATATCCCATGAAAACTTCTGGAGCATATTGGTATCCGACATAGAAAATTCCATTGCAACCTTTCTTGTCAGACAACTTGGCAGAAGGTTTTATTTCAATGTCTTGTTCCATGTATAAGAAAGAGTTGTCAATAGAAATAATATGAAACCTGTCGCAAGCAATATCTACTGTTGTTGAAGAACCTTCTCCAAACTCACCTACGTTTCCATAAGAAACAGCAGTTGTATATTCGTAAGTTCCAGGAACTATTTCTGACCTTCTAATGGCATTGTCGCATTCGTTATACCATTCGGAAACATTTCCATTCATGGCATCCAAAACTGTTGGCGTTATATTCTGAGCGGCGTACATTTCATATGAGTAAAAATATAGAATAGTTGGATTTATATGTCATAATAGAACCCACTCCGACCAAGCTTTACTTTCTTCCTGACTGAGTTTTTAACTCTTCTTTTTCCTTCATTGCCACTACTTTCACTAGATGAAGTTACTTCTTCACTACTTTCACTTTGTTCTACTCTTCTCTTCTTCTTTGGTGTCGCTTTTGGTAACTTGCCCTCTGCTTCAAGTTGTTGCATCTTTGCCTCATGTTCACCTAGTATGTTGTAAATTTCCCATGTCCTTTTTGCCTTTGGGCTCTGGTCGCCCATCTCAGGTAACCTATATCCTAGAAAGAGTTTGTCATAGTTTGTATTTGAGTCTTTGCGTATTGTTTGCATGACTCTGTCCTGAGTTTCCGGTTCAAGCTCTTCAAACAGTGCCTGTCCATATGGAATAAGCTCGTTTCCAAATATATGTTTTTGTAGCCATTCTGGTTTTCTTTCCATGTTACCAACTATATCTTTTGTGAATGGGAAAGCTTTTACCCAATCTTTCAGTCTTGCGTCGTTTATTTCTGTAGTTGGTTTTATTTTGTCAAGGAACATGTTTTTCAATACTAACATTTCATTTGGTACTGTCCATTTGAGTTTTCTTAAATATTCATCCCTTCTCAGTTCA